ACAATGAATCAAGAAAGAGAATATGAAGGAAAGTTCCTACGAATTACGAAATTCAACCACATTCTAGTTCATGAAAGTATTAGATCAGCTTCCTTTCTTGACCAAATTGATGAATTAGTTCTTTTTACATAACCTGTCGGTTGTTAAGCAAATTATAAAAAGTCAACCGTGGAGGTTAACAATCATGTGCTTGAAAAAGATTGCTCATATATAATTGCAATCCATATAATTTTACGTGTATTAGTACATTAAACGAATGTATTATTATAATATAATGAAAGCTTTGCTTCTTTTTTTTTTTTTTGCCGGAAAATATAATGAAAGTATGAAATATATGGTTGAGTACTATAAAATGTCTCTCTATTATCAAGATATACTTTGTTTTGTACTTGCTAATAAGCATGATCGTTAATCATTTATTTTTGAATTTCCAAGGGACTAAAATAATAGTTTCTATTCAAAGCCATTTTACGTTTTGATATTAGTCTCTTAATTTGTAAGGACTTTCTCTGGTTAGCCTCCCTACTGATACTGTCAATTTTTAACTGTTAAATCTAATTAAAATCACATCATATTAAAAAATATGCAAAACAGAGAGATCCTCGTACAAATCTTACGGTTGAAGCGTAAGTCTTACTGAAGAAAAAAAAAAAAAAAAAAAACTCTAATTTGCATTATGGTCATACAATTACAACCCCTTCATTTGGGTTATTAGGGAACACAAGATGATATTAAGTGAATGGAGCCTAAAAAGTTTTGGTCCCCTTTATTAAAATATATAATATGGACTATGAGAGATAAGGTGGTCCAATTTTCTCCATGACCCTACCTTTCACTTCTCAGAGTACAATATGAAAAAAGAACAATAATCCTTCATAGAAACACCCGCCTCCTGCCTCAAGTGAAAAAACAAAACTAGGTAATTCCATTGTGCTAAATCGTACAGTTATTTTAGGACAGCTCATGACAACACAATATTTTGCTTTGTGTGAAGATTCTTTGTCTAGCGTTTGGAGATTGGACTTGCTCCTTGGTAAATAGTAGAAATTAGTTTTGGATGTTCCTGCAAACAGTTGCTACATAATTTCAACCAGGATGTTTCTATGGCGTATTTACGGTACCATATCGGTTTACAAATTTATCATAATTTCTTACATGAACGTATATCATTTAAATTTTTCATATATTTTTTTTTAAATTTACAAGTTTATCGTAATTTATATAATTTAAACGTTCAAACTTTACAAATCTCGACATAAAATGTACAAGTTAATGGTTCCCAACAACATAAAAGTTCCCTTTTAACCGAGATAATGTAACTTGTGGAGATCGGAAATCCAAAACAAAACTTGCATGAGCCACAGAATAAACACTGGGTGATGATGGTGTGGTGGGGCAAACTTTTAAGCTGGATTTTGTTGTGTTTCTGTGGGGTTTGAGAATGGAACATATCAATTTAATTCTCCTTAAGTTTTTATGATTCAGAAATTTACGGATGAGATTGTTACAGATATTTGTTGGGACCACTCCTCCTAAACTAGGAGCACTATATATGGCCCTTTGTGTAGGAAGAAGAACATGGGTTTCGAGCATATATATATATATATATATATATATATAGTTATAGTTATTTATTTATTTATTTATTTTGCCCTCCTCGTGACAAAATCATGTGTATCTACCCCCTTGTGGGCCTATATTCAAGTAATGGGCCTTATGGGTCAAGTTCTTTTTCTTTTTTTTACAACGTCATTATATCAAAGACTATTTTCACTTTTGACTCTGAAAGAATGTGTTATTCCATTTTAGTCGCTAACACTCGAAATGGTTGGCTATCAATCTATTTTGCATAAAAGCTTACTAAAAACTAATCATTCAAAAAAAAAAAAAAAAAAAAAAACTAATCTTTGGCTATCCATTGCATCTCAACCGTTGATCTTGCTTTAGAGACTCTCCCCACCCCTAGATCATTTGACGTCAAACAACTCATATCGTGGAGCTCGGCTACTACTAGATGATGTTTTGAAAATGAATTAATCGAATCTTAAAAACATTTCAAAATATTATGGATTTTATGGTATTGATGGTTCAGATTTATTATTTTAGCAATTAGAAGAATTAAAAAAATTATATAGATCTAATAATTATTTTTTAGATAAAATTTAAAGACTCAATTTTCAGTACTTGAGTCAGTCCTAATAACACTACTTCTGGCCCATTGGCGTCGAAGCAAGCAGTGAGAGACCGAAAGTATTGTTACTATAAAGAGATGTTTGTTTCAGTAATTTGTTTGTGATTCTGAATCATGATTCATGGTTCTTTATAATGTTTTTCTCTCACAAAAAGTACACATAAAACGAAAATAATTCTAAATCTATGAACTAAACGTGCACTAAGATATTGAATCTTCGGGTCGCAAAATGTACCATTTTAAGTATTTGGGGTCAAAGTGAGACAACACTGATTCTTCAAAGGCCGAAAATGAAAATAACAATATATGCCCTATCTTCCATCCATTTGACGGTTAAGTTGAAACGAGAGCTTAATTTTCAAGTAATTAGTGGATGTGACCTAGTTTTTGGAGGTTAGGAACATCCAAAGCGTGGCAATTAATATTTTGAGCAATAAAACTGAAGCTGGGGGTCTTTAATTGAATTTTTCAGTTGCTCTTAGTAAAAATTAAAAAATAAAAAAAATAAAAAAAATAAAAATCCCACCAATCCATGAAAGGTAATAAATGAGTCCCTGTCAAAGGTCTCAATCTACTCTGTGTAATGGAAGGGAAGGGGCACATGTAGATGAGAGTTACTTTCTTTGTTAGATACTACTCTACCACATGATATTCATCCCCACATGACATGCCATCATGTTAAGTGGATTGTATTAATTTTTGTTTGAAACTTATCTCCTCTTTTTTTCCCTTCAAGAGAAAAACCACAACAATGAAAACAGGTTCAGTGTCTCAGTGAGACAGGAGGGCCATGTCTGTCCTAAGCAATTGGCCAATACGCTTGACGATCATACTCTCTATGGCTACAATAAAATTTAGTAGAGCAATTATTTAATGTTACACCGCGATCTGATTCAACGAAAAATGTATAAAGACGCTAATGGTGCTAAGCACTACTCACTAATAAAAAATAGATTTAAATCTTTCACGTATGAAGCTCACCAGTTCTTATCACTAGCCATGCTCCAAGCATTTTTCTAGTACATTATATTTGATTGGGTTTTACAATGAGGTATTAAAATGTATGATGTTTTACCATAATTGAACTGGTTAGAAGTATAAGGTCTGATACAGTATTTGATTGGGTTTTGCAATAGGATATTAAGATGTATGTTGTTTTATCAGTTGAGCTGGAATAAACTCCTTTTTTTTTAAAAATAAATAAATTTATTGAGAATGACAACCGATACTAGATGTAACACATAATGTTTGTTTTATGTAACGATAACTTTGAAGTGACAAAAAAAAAAAAAAAAAAGTTATTGTAAAACCATGATACACTTTTTTGCAATGTTAATATTATGTATAATAATTAACGGTCAAATGCATCCCATATATTTGTACATTTTACAATACAGAATGGGATACAAATATCTTTATTTTTTTATCATTAATTTTGATCAATTTAGAAATTCGCAACATCTGTTTTCTTCTTATATTAAATTATGTTCTTTTTTTTCCCTTAAGAAGTACATCAAAATATTGCCCAGCATTGGAGACAAAATTTACTCGAAAAAAGAAAAATATTGTAATTTTGTCAAACACTGAGATTCACTAATGACAGAAATTGTATACGAACGTGATTAAGGAAGAAAATTATGTCAAGAAGCTTTTTTTTTTTTTATCCACTCAACTGTGCATTGTATTTTCCAACCACCATAACTAGTTGAACATGTGACGCATTCTGGAAAGAAAAATGAGAGAATACAAAGAATGGACAGACTGATCAATGATTTTTATATGTTCAAACTTAGGGACTAAAGTAAAATGCCATAGTTAAAATCGCAGAAAATTTGATTCTAATAGTTTATATCTGAAGTCGCTCTAAAATGCATTCCATTCGAATTACCAAATTGAATTCCTTGTTTATTTATTGTTTTTACTAAAACAAGGTGTGATAGCATAATAATTTAAGAATCTCTAGTATTTTTTTTGGGTGGATTTTCCAATGGTCCCCCATTAGGAGGATCTAATGGGAAAATGACATTACGAAATGAAAACTACGTACTGATAATCAATCACCCTGCAATATCAGTAATGACCAACACAAGCACACGTTATTATACACTGTTGAACATTTTTTTGCTCATAAAAAAAATGTTCAACGTTGGAAAAAAAAAAAAAACATTTTTGGTTCTCAAGTAATTATTCATTGTCGCCAACAGAAGAAGGCAAATTAAAACAACACCATCAAAAAAGAAACACCTAAAAAGAAAAGGCTACTGAAGAAAGAAATCTCCTGTATATTATTATTTTTTTCTTTTTTAATTAGTACCTTAATATTCAATGCTCACCAGAAGAACATTAAATTCCGAGTTCACAACTTTGTACACAATATCAAACACCCCACCAGCGGTCCAACGAAAATTTTCTATTTTTTCTCCACACTTATTCCATTTAATTTATTTAAAACTTTCTACAATTTTATCAAAGAAATAAACTACCGATAAATTTATGTTTTTATCTGTATTAAAAACTATTTATTTCATAAATTTTTATAATTAATGTGATCTTAACTAAATGCAACAATTAAAAATAAGCATGACCGATAGAAAATCTCATTGGAGAAGTACCCAATTTATTTAAGTGATCCATTTGTTTATTTAATTGTTTATTTCTTATGTTTTCTTAATTTACTTTTTTGTTTCTCCGCAAGGCAACCTCTCCCACTTGTCTCATTACTTTAAAAGCTTTTCCCCACAACTTCCTCTCTGACCAAACTATTAATGCCACATAAATAACTCAAGCTTTACATCTCCAAAAGAAAAAAAAAATCATTTTTTTGAAATTCCACAACAACAACACTATTTCTCAACATCAAGAGAAGCAATAAAGTGAGAAAGAAAACCTCCCCCACCAAAAGAAAATCAGAAAGAAAACAATGAAGCTCCCTTTTCTCTCCAACCAAACAGATTCAAGATCTTCCAGTTCAACTACTTCCACATGGCCTTGGCCTTCATGTACCCAAACCAGAACTCTCTCCTTCCGAACCACAAACGACATCTTCAAAACCGTCAACTCAGCCTTCTTAGAAACCCCTCCTCATGAAACGACGCCCGTCAATGAGGATTCCACCAACACCTCCTCCGAAACGACCGATGATCGAATCCGAAGCTGCGAAAGCTTTTCGACAGCGTCGGAGGACCAATCTGGGGGCGACCCGGTTGAGGAAGTGATTAAAGGATTGATAAGGTCCGAAAGACTTTTCTTCAAGCCCGAGGAAACAAGCTCCATCCTTGAAGAAGCCAAACCAGTGGTCGTTGAAAAGAGTATTGTGCCGTTTAAGGAGAGCGTGGCGTTATCGATGGAATCGAAAAACCCTTACTTGGATTTCAAGAAATCGATGGAGGAAATGGTGGAGGCTTTAGGGATAAAGGAATGGGAAGGGCTTGAGGAGCTTCTTTGTTGGTATTTGAAGATGAATGGGAAGGACAATCATGGTTATATTGTTGGAGCATTTGTGGATTTGTTGGTAGGTCTTGCTTTTAATAATTCGAAGTCGTCACCTAATTGTAGTTGTAATGTTATTACTAGTAGTAATTCTAATTTATGTGATTCTCCTTATTCTCCTTTATCATTTTGTAATACTTCTTCTTCTTCTTCTTCTTCTTCTTCTTCTTCTTCGTGTTCTTCTAGTACTACTACTCCTTGTGTGTCGTCTATAGGAGTTGGAGAAGAGATTGAAACTCCTTGTTTGTCTTCTTTGTTTGAAAGTACAGAAGAAGAGGAAGAAGATGATGATGATGAGGCTTCATCTTAGTTTAATTTATTAACATAATATTTTAATTAGATATGTGTTTTTTTTAATGATTATTGTATGGAAAAGTTAACAGCTGAAATCATGGCCAAACTTTCAGTTATAGCTCCCAGAAATAATGGCTAAAACTTTTTGTTTGTGACTTACAAATTGTCCAAACTCTCTCTCTCTCTCTCTCTCTCTTCTAAGGTTACAAAAAGAGCCAAGCACACACGTGTGAGGGGTAATTAAGTGTCGCCCTTTTCTTGTGCACTAAAAAAGGGTTAATGGGGACACATGAAATGGTGCATATCCAAAGCTTTGTGTTTGCCGTTTTCAGGAAAAGAAAATGCCTCTCTCTCTCTCTCTCTCTCTCTATATATATATATATATTATCATCCTTACAACATACAAATGGGAATGAATCTTTGGTTACATAAGACAAATACACAATGTGCTCCTATGGCGACAGTCTTCTCAAACTAGAATATTATATAAAATTAGGGTTTTGAAAAATTTAGGGAAGGTTCTGAATTAAGTTGATGAGATCATCAGCTTATGTACATACATATATATATATATATATATATGTTGCTTCAACGGTATTCTGCAATTATGATAAAGTGCTGAGTTCCATGTGTGGATATATAATTTATGTTTTTTTTTCTTTATTTAAGCAATTGAATAATAATTGAGTCTTAACGCAGAGTTGGGGGGGTACAAATCCCATGCAAGTCGTACCACTTTAACACAAGTGTTGCTAGTTATGAGAATTTAATGTCCCACCAATGGACCTGATCCACTTGCACCTGAGCAGTGTCATGATTAAACAATCAGGACCGTTGATTTTGAATTGGACAGTCATTATCAGATGATAGGTACAACTCCAGCCAGAACTCTGGCGTGGTCCTCTTCACTCATATCCTCGCAAACCTGCAGCATAATTTATCGTCGTATATAATAACCATCAGAATAATTTTGAGAAGATATAATGATATATATGTACAAATTTTTTTTTCTCTGTGTTGGGAAATATTGTCACTACGTGACCGCTTGATCATGAATATGGTATAAAAAGTTCATGGCTTTTGAGAGTAAAAGATAGCTTCAAATTTGTGAAAGAAAACAAACCTACCTGTCTTCCAGATTGTGCTTGCTATTAGCTAAAATGATTTTACAGATAGTACACACGGAGATTTCTTTAGTAGAAACTGAGAAAATAAAGTACCGAAAAAAGACTCTATTTTAAGTTATTAATCTATATTAGACACTGTCTATTTTACACACATTTTTAATCCCATGTGATTTTGATCATATTTAATTATCAAAACTAACCCTACTAATCAAAAAAATACTTTTTTCTTTCTTTTTTAAACAGTACAAATAAGAGTTCATATTCTATCAGATATATTATCAACTTCCTCTGTAAAAGAGATTTTGAATCTGTGTCGTTCATGCAAAGCCGAAGGAAAAAACAAGAAGATGAAACATTCTTAGTAGGGCAAGGTTATAAAATGTCACTGTAAAGTTCTGGTGGATATATACAAAAGGTGAAGTAAAATCTGAGATGCTTGATATGGCCCGTATATTGGTTAAACTGAACAAGATCAATAGTGGATCCATTATGTTTTAGTGCAATATTCTTTAGTCAATATATTAGGTTAACCTGGATCCAAAAGAGATTCAATTTCACTAAAGAAAGAAAAAAAAAAAAAAAGGAAGAACTTCTTAGTAGGAATATTTAGAATTATGTACATAATAAATTTCATACTATATTGGAATTTAAAGACCAATATTGAAGATACTCTCTCTCTCTCTCTCTCTCTCTCTCTCTCTCTCTCTCTCTCTCTCTCTCTCTCTCTCTCTCTCTCTCTCTCTCTCTCTCTCTCAGTAGGGATATTTAGAATTACGTATATAATAAATTTCATACTATATTGGAATTTAAAGACCAATATTGAAGATCTCTCTCTTTCTCTCTCTCATTTGTCTTCCACCTCCGGACAACTTTATTTGTTATTTTTTTAAAGGAAGTAAAGAACCAGACAACTATATTATCAAAATATATATGTGACTTTTTAAAAAAAAAAAGAAACATAGTTTCATTATCCTTCTCCTATATAAGTCTAAAGATCTTAAGTAATTGAAATTTGGACCTATATCTGACTAGATATAGATGCCTTCACTACTGGAGACCCTTCAGAGAGTTTTATTGTACACATATAGGACAATTATTGTTTGTCTCTAACTATCTATAGTAGCTTATGGTCATGTGTCTAATATTCAACTGAATTTTTATGGGGAATGAGCCCCGAGAACTTGCACCAAACAGAGCCGCGAACTGAAACAAACTTTAAGTACTCGTTTAGAATGTATATTCAAATCATAAATCTTAAATCTAACGTCCAAAATTTAAATTTTTTTGTAAGAAAAAAACACTGCAGTAGAATCAATGATTTGAATTTGAGTATATAAAACAAAAGAGCCCTAAATAATTTCTATATATGCATAATTTTATTTTTCCCTTCCTCAAGTCTATACACAATTTTAATTGAAACCGTTATCCCCCATGGTGTGGCTCTTTCTTTCTCCTTTGATGCTGAGTTATTCCATGGTTTTTATTCTTTAAAAACTTATTAAATATGAAATTGAGATCATATCCAAATAGAATTGAGTCTGATCTTTTCTTTTTACGACAGGATAACACTAATAATCTCGTCCTTAATTTTACAGGAATGAAATTGTGTTTTAGATTTTCTCATCTACCTAGCATTATATTTATATGAGAAATGATCCTATATATATATATATATATATATTATATAATTGGCCGGTCTTTTTGATAACAAAAAGATGTAAGTGGGTTTAAAAAAGAAAAGAAATAGAGGAAGTAGTTTATATGACCAATCTAGCTATAATATATAATTTCAAGGCTCCATGCTCGAGAGATGGTTCAGCATAGATTCCTCTCAAATCTCTTAGCCCCAGATTCTTGTTCAAGTGGAGAAGCTTCTAAACCTTGTGCCCACACATTATTCTATGGATCACAATTCGCAATAAGCAAAGTAAATAATGCTTAACATATAGAGCTTCATGCATATTATACATATGTATAAGTTTATGTAAGATTAAACTAAACAAATTAAGTAAATGTTGAATCAATTCAGGGTGGTTTCTTGACCAGCTAGTGCATTTATCTATATTATTATGTACGTACACTGCAACACTAATGAATTTGTCGCACATCATGATCCTCACTTTAATTAGCTTTTATAATTAATCGCCCTTGTGCTTTATATGATGTAACGTTTTTATGCGTGATATAATTTCATATATAAATGGCAAACAATTCATCCTAATTATTATGCCTATATATATATATTAATGGAAGTTGGCAATATTCTAATTCTGATTAGAGGGTTGTTTTTTAGGCAATTAATATTGCAAAGTTTTCAAATGGTGAGAAAATTTTTGTTGTGTTTTTCTCCCTCGAAATTTCAAATTGATCTTCCACTTGATCATTGCAATTCCAGAGGTGAAAAAAAAAATAAAAAATAAAAATGTCTTGCCTGAAAAAATCTATAGGACAGTACCGACTAGAACTTGGTCTTAGGGACATTTTGACCCGATGGGCCCACCTTTGCCTGTGACTTGATCAGATTTTATTCTGGAATCTTACAGTTAGTAAAAAAGAGTGTACAAAATTGGACGGCAGTGATGGATTCTAACGGAGCAAGTGCCTCACAGTAATTGATGCAGAGAAATGCACACAATCTTTTTTTTTTTAAATTTTATTTTTGATCAGACAAACAAACAAACACACTGCAGGTTTTTACTTGTCAAAATTTTGGAGGATACCAATACGAAATACACATTTCCTAGACCGTAATTAATTGTTTTAATTTGGTAATTAGTGAGATAATGACCCAACGACATTATTGTGTAGTTTCACCCCATTTTCCAAGAAAAAATTTAATTTTCCGTGAAAATTGGTGAATCAAAAATGTTATGGAAATTTGTGTGATCTGTCCCAATTCAACTTCGGCTTTGTGTTCTTTTGCATTAAATGTCTTTCAAAGTTCAACACGCCAACCCCACATTTCTTCACTCTTGTTTTATCGATCGATGGGCTCCCTTTAATTGAGTGCAATATTTTTACAGTTGTTTTATAAGTTTTCGTTTTTTTTTTTCCTTTTCTAATTTTTGTGTTTTTGGACATTTATGGGCATTTGGATATTAGTGTTGCAAGTTAATCTTGTGTTTAGTGAGTGTTTAATTTTCCGACTAGAACATGCTTACTCGTAATACATGTATTTGAAGAAGAGAAAATATATATAACGATCTTATTATTAAATTTAGCAGATGAAATCTAAATACCACGACGCATAATTTACCTGTTATATATGTATAGTTTTTCATGCGTTTAGGGTTGTCATGATCACTTCATACATAGATACCTAGCATATACAGCTAGCATAGCAGTACTTCTTTCCAATATATGTATGGTTTTTTTATTCATAATGATGTGTATCAGGCTTTGTCAATTTTTATCATGTTCCATTATGTTAAATAGTTAAAATCACATTAAATTTTTTTTTTAAAAAGTTTGTAAAACAGATAGAATCTAATAAAATATAGTCTTAAGATCATTAGGGTCGTGTTTGGAATTGAACATATTTTTGTTTTTCAAGTTTTTCGAGAAAGAAAAAATAAAAATTTTTCTAAAATGACGTTTGGTGCAATAAAGACAAAAAACAGAAATGAAACGATTTTTTAATTTAGTGTAAAATAAGAGAGAAATGAAAAACGACTTTTAGTCGTTTTTCATTTTTTATTTTCGTTTTCTCATCTCGAGAGCAGAGAGAGAAATAGATACATTAATGACTTTTTTATATTGAAAATAATTTCTTAATAAAACTACTAAATGCATTTTTAAAAATAATTTCTGTTTGAGATTAAAAACGTTTTTATTTTTATTTTCATACAAAAAATAAAATATTTTGAAACGAGTTTCAAACGCACTTTTTTTTTTTTTTTTTTTTTTTAACATGCCTCTTGGCATAGGATATTCTCCATGTCTAAACTAGTCATTCTATTGAGAAAGTTTTGACTTCCACATGAAAATGGCTAAGGAAGGTTAGGGCTAGCTAGTCACATTTGAAGTCCT